TATGAAGCGGCTGAAGGCCAACTCCCGCCTGACGGATACGACTTTAATCTGAGGACACCGCTAGGGGTTCGAACCTCGGCTCAGGCCGTCGTAATTTCCATCCCCGTTTGAATTGGACGATCGATCGGAGGCGAAGTCGAATTGAGAGATTAAAGTTGCAAACAAAGTCGCGGGTAACTGCTAGTCTAAATATATATAACTCAAAGGTGACTGACATAGTGATCTATCAACGCACAGCCCAAACCACTGAACGGATCGGGCTGAGATTTGGCATGCAGGTACATGTTATGACGTAGGCATCCCCATAGAAAGGGTTTTGATAAATTCCACCCTTAAGGGGATAAATTAACGCGAGCGAAGCCGCGGGCAAAAGCCATTGTTGTATATAGATAAAAAGTTAGAAAATGACGGTTTGTTTGCAATTTACACAACGATATAACGAAACGTCTTAAATGCAATATCTTTTGGAACTATTTCAAGAGATTACAGGAAAACAAATAGATTCACCATTTAGAATGGCAAAAATGGCGAAATTCCTCGATCTGATCTCACCCCTACTATTGGAATTAACAGTATGAATTCCCACTTTACTCATTTTGTACAATTCTTTTCGAGATATTTTCAATAACTCTGGACAATTCACACGAGGTCATCTAGTGCTATGCTAAGTAGAGCTTGGGTTTTAGTTTTAGTCTCGCGCTTTAGTACATAGCTTTAATTCTAGCGGTCGCGGGTTCGATTCCTCGCGCGTTAAACATTTGTATTTATGAGTACAATACAAACAATGATACTCATAAATCTGGGTTTTTTCTATATATGTTAAGTACGTATTTAAAAAAAATATTTGCGTATTTATATCAGTTATCTAGTACCCATAAGAGCTTGTAGGTCTGCTTACGTTGGGACTAGATGGCGCTGTGTTAATTGTCCTGAGTTGCTATTATTATTATTAAGACAAGAAAGCCACATACGTCCATGATAGCACTCAAGTGTTGCCATTCCGAAGGAGTAAGCACTAATGGCTCCATATCCTGTATCCGTCATCCGTGAGAACAGTTAGTAAGTGTTGCCAGAGGTAATATTAATGACGTAGCGCGCATTGCAGCGGGCTGCCATAACTCAGCCGTTCAAAACTGCCGGATAGACGGGGGCTATGATAAAACTTTTGTTACAATCGCTTCCACAGATAAAGCGCTTATATCTTTATGGTTTAGATTGTAATATTCTGTGGATTTTCATATTTTTTTTTAAAAATGGAACTGGTTTAATAAATTGAAAAAAAGAAGTTGGTAGTAACTGTCTCGTAGTGGACACAATGGAATTTGTTAATAACAAACTCTGATGCACAGTTTTTACAAATAATAAATTTAGAATAACAACTAGCCGTGAAACAATTAGAAACAGTAGAAAAAATAGATAATAATATCGACTAACTTGAAGGTATACAAATAATAAAAATTATAACGCCTGTTCTACACAATTAGCAAAAACTACGGCTACAATGTTGGCTTTATCAGTAACCATAGATAATATAATCTTATTAATATTATAACTGCGAAGGTTTGTGTGTGTTTGATAGATGGATTCATTTTTTTTTAATTGCAACTAGCTTAAAAAAAATTAAATTGTTAGTAACCACAGATAAGATTATTAATATTAAATTTGAAAGTTTGTGTGTATGGATAGAAAGAGCAAAGATTACTGAACGGATTTTAAAATAGTATATATCACAATACTCCGGGAAAATTCACACAACATCTAGTCCCAAGGTAAGCAGAGCTTGTGTATGGGTAGACAACTGATATAAATACTTAGACACATTTTTTTGTAAATAATATTATATTTAGAAAACACCCAGACCGATACAAATAATCATACAAATGTTTACCGTGCGAGGAATCGAACACGCGACCATCGGAAGTAAAGCGGTGTGACGTGGAAAAGTGGAGCCTTCTGGTACAGGCATTTTTATGCTTAAATTGATCTTTTAATAACTGTATAGAATTTAGAAAAAATTGTGTTACGCACATAAAGAATATTGAATTTTTGCATAGATAAATATATTTTGGTTTCTCGGGAATTGATTGGTTGTTTTTGTTTGCAATTGTTGTTAACATCTAACCCAGATATTTCAGTTTCCACCAAAAACTGTGCACGCTTTTGTTTCAACGGCAATCAACTTTCTATTTTTCAATTCATGTCGCTCGACTATAAAAGAGTTCCCTCTATAGTTCTATAGCTCGCCGATGTAACTTATTACCTATTTCTATGAATATCTATGAATTTTCGCTGTTTACATATCGAATTGAAATGAATATTTTGCAGTTTATTTTTATTAGTTCTATAAATGTCTCCTTGTGGGAACGATGGAAGAATAGTATTTCATATTTCGTTTATTGGCCATTTATATTTATACAAATTTAATTTAATTACAATTACATTTATTAAATACCTACACAATCTTATTAATATTATAAACACCAAAGTTTGTGAATCTGGATATATGTTTGTTGCTCTTTCACGCAAAAACTACTTAACATGTGTATGAACATTCATCATCATGAATGGAGGTATTACAATGAACACAGGATACTTTTTATTAAAAAAAAATCAAATATTTTTATAAAAGAACAAAAATATAAAATATCTATATTTTATTTTTAAAAGGCGATTGTTAGTAATGTGGATTTATGACCCCATCGCTAGCAATGGACCATGTCAGGTTGACCTCCACGCGGTTCCACTTGTAAACTAACCTGATAAATTCCTGATGATTATGTCACGATGGGCTAACTGACCTGACATCATGCTCATCCTATCTTCCAATGATGTAACGCGTAAACCGTTAGCGCAGGCGGGTGCATCATTCCATTATATGATGATAATGGAAAAACACTATACTACAGCCACAGATAACACAGTTCATGATTCCATTATCTTCCACTAAAAAAAAAACATACCATAGCCACAGATAACGTAAATAGATACCATAGCGTTCTGTGATGAAACATTATTACCTTTCTTAAATTGTTAATTACGTACTTTATTGATATCTGTCTGACATATCTCTGAAAGCAAATATTGTTTATTTGTATTGTCTTCAGCTTCGTCATTGTCACAAAGAGTATCTGCCATTACACTGTAATATTCCTGGAATTTTGTTTTGAAATTCGACACTGAATATTATTAACTTCGGCGCAATATTTGCTTCAAAAGTGTAACAATGGAAATTCTATTAAAACCCGGCAAATATCGGCAACTAGGGACTTCTACTGACTTTGCTCGGACAGAATATGTAAGCGTTTTTATTTTTAATTGTCTGCTAAAAACTACTGATATTATTTATATTGTTAACTGAGTCTTAACACTAATAATTTTATGCTAAATTAGCTGTAAATGCGGTTTCAGCCGCTTGTAATTTATAGCCGGTGTTATTCTGATGTATAAGTTATATTACTTTAAAGTTTTAACAAAATCCGTTTAGTAGTTTTTGAGTGAAAAAGTAACAAACATCCGTCCATCATTACTCTCAAACTTTCGCTTCGCTCGCGTTAATTTATTCCTTTAGGGGTGGAATTCATCAAAATCCTTTCTTAGGGGATAGTAGTTTCCTACGTCATAGTAGCTTTATGCATGCAAAATCTCAGCCCGATCGGTCTAAATTGACAAAGTTTCATACAAAGTTTCATCCCCTATTTTATCCCCTTGGGGGTAGAATTAATCAAAATCCTTTCTTAGCGGATGCCTACGTCATAACATGTACCTGCATGCCAAATTTCAGCGCGATCCGTCCAGTGGTTTGGGCTGTGCGTTGATAGATCACTATGTCAGTCACCTTTGAGTTATATATATAAATATAGTAAGAAGTAAGATAAAGTGCAAAGGTTGGTGAAGTAAGTATATTACACAGATTAGTCGAAACGTCAAGAGAAGTGAATACCTTTGTCTATACATATAAATAAAATTGGAGTGTCTGTTTGTAATATTGACATAACCTTTTTTTTACTACATGCATATGAATATAAATACGGTATATACACTAAAATAACATATTTGTCTGTCTGTGTGTTTGTTCCAGCTAATCTCTAAAATGGCTGGGCCGATTTTGACGGGACTTTTATTGGCTGGTAGCTGATGTAATAAGGAATAACTTATGCTACTTTTATTTTAGAAAAATCTTACATTTTGAAAATGAAAGTCAGTTAGGCCATTGTGACAAATTCATCAAGAATTTATCACCATGGTTTCCAGAGGAAACCGCGTGGAAGTCGACCTGACATGGTACATTGCTAGCAATACAATCATCAGTTCACATTACTAACAACCCCCTTTCTCCCCTGTGTGAGAAAGGGGCTTCTTACAAGGATTGATACTTTGACTTCGGTGGTCTAGTGGTCTAGCACACCGCTTTACGACCGGTGGTCGCGGATTCGATTCCTCGCACGGCACACACATTTGTATTCATGGGTATGATTGTTTGTATCGGTCTAGGTGTTTTCTATGTATAATATGTATGTATTTAAAAAAAATATATCTATGTATCTGTATCAGTTATCTAGTACCCATAACACAAGCTTTAGGTAGCTTAACCTGGGTCTATATGGCGCTGTGTGAATTGTCCTGAGATTATTACTATTATTATTATTATTATTATTATTATTATTATTACTATGAAAAACTGTTCGGTTCGGTTTAGCTGGGCTTCCCAGAATTTCTTGCTTGTCTGAACTTACCTTGAACCGGGTTACCTGTCTACCGTCAAAACAGATAACGATGCTCTCAATTATATGTATAATATATTCAGTAAATTGAATTAATATTAGAATTTCTTGTTTTGTTATTCTTTTATGAAATTATAATTTTATTAGTATAATTTATAGATTTAAAATATGTAATATTAAAGATAAAGCAATACAATAACAACATACTGTGTTAAATACTCTTATTGAAGTAACTACATAGATAACAAATCCAATTATATAACAAAAAAACGTTAATGCTTACACTAAAAGTCTACCATTGTCAACTAGCAAAGTCGATCCAGTTATACCTTTTGCTTTCTCACTGGCCACAAATAGAATTAAATCTACAACTTCCTCTGGCTCTGACACTCTTCCTAAAGCTGTTTTCCTTTCGAAATCATCCCACGATATTGGAGCATCAGCAGTTTGCAAGAAGTCAGTCCTCGTCGGTCCAGGATTTACTGCATTAACCCTTACTCCAGAAGGTGCAAGTTCCAATGCCGCTCCTAATGTGAAATGGTTGACAGCAGCTTTGGAAACACAGTAGGCTATCTGTGGTGGCGATGTAGATACCTTAAAACCAGCTGCACTTGACACATTTACAATGTTACCTTTAGTTTTAACAAGATGAGGCGCAGCTAATGATGTGAGATGTACAACTGCTCTCACATTGACTGCCATAACATCATCGTACGTTTTAAGTATTTCTCCATTCAGAATAGTACCATATGCTCCAATTCCAGCATTGTTTACTAGTATATCAAGCTTTCCAAATCTATCAACAGTTTCCTTGATAATTCTTTTAGCGTCCTCATCGTTAGCTACGTCAGCTTTTATTGCAAGTGGTGTTCTACCGACTTCTTTACATTTATCTACAACTTGTTTTAACTTGTTCTCGTTTCTACCAACTATAGCAACGTCCGCTCCTTCTTTGGTGAAATTAATTGCTGCTACAGCACCAATTCCAGCACTAGCACCAGTAATAAGCACAACTTTGCCGGCATAACTCATTTTTAGATTTTATATGTAAATTATTCGTCTGTGGACTAAATAAATGTATATGTTAAAAGAATCTTATTAATATGAGATAACAAACATTGTGTATTGAGACTGTAATGGTAAAGCAGACGGGCAATTTTGTGTAATAATTGTTTACACGGAATCCGTTTGGTGACGAATTAAGAATATGTACAGGTGAACTATTATTTTTTTATAATATTAGGCTGTGTATATACTTTGGTTCAATTGAAAATATTCTATAATTTCATGCCGATTAGATAGCTTCGTAATTAACTATTTAAAAAAAATGAGAATTGGATAATTTAATGTTTTATGGATCAGAGTTGTGTGCTCATAACTTTGTGAGTTTTCTATCTATACATCTATACATATAAATAAAATTGGAGTGTCTGTTTGTAATATTGAAATAACCGTTTTCTACTGCATGCATATGAATATAAATACGGTACATACACCAAAATAACATTTTTTATAATTTTTGTCAGTCTGTCTACCTGTTTGTCCGGCTAATCTTTGAAATGGCTGGACCGATTTTGACGGGACTTTTATTGGCAGGTAGCTGATGTAATAAGGAGTAACTTAGGCTACTTTTATATTAGGAAAATAAAGTTAAATTCACGCGGACGAAGTCGCGGGTACAGCTAGTATATTAATATAAAGTATGGTTGTTAGTAATGGGGATTAGAGGCTTCATTGCTAGAAATATACTAATATTGTTAATTCCTTGTGAATTTGCCGCTACAAAAACTGACCATCATGCACTGGTGCTCCGCCAGAGTGTTCCATTAGCGCAGGGGGAAATGGTAATGTTAGTAATGTGGACTGATAGCCATATTGTTAACAATGTACCTTATCAGGTTGACCTCCATGTGGTACCCTCTGGAAACCATCGTGATAAATTCATAGTGATTTTACTATGATGGCCAAACTGATCTGACCTCATGCTCATCTTATCATTCTCCACTAGTGCGCCGCCAGTGTAAACCGTTAGCGCAAGCGGATGTACTATTCCATTATCATCCATAAGAAGCATTAGCGCAAATGGGTGTGCCATTTCCATTATCATCTATTAAAAAAAGGTTAATTAATTTATGTATAATAATATATATTCTTAACCGCTAAACCACCATCTGTCTCAAATGAAGACGAGATATGAATTTCACTTCTCTCATAAAAAAATACGTTCTCTTTCCTTACTAATATTATAAAACGCGAAAGTGAGTGTCTGTCTCGCTTTCACGCCAAAACTAGTGAACCGATTTAAATGTAATTTGGTACACAGATAACAGGACTAGAGTCTGAGATAATTTTTTTTAATACGAAAAAAGGGTTGAAAGGGGAGATAAAGTTTTGTATGAATTTATCGTTGTTTTTAAAGGTTTTTTAGGCTGTTGATTAAATACAAATAAATATGATATTAAAATTTGGTAAGAAAGTTACCCATAAGATAGTTAAATAAATTACGGAATAAATATTTGTATGGAAATTCGTCATTTTTAAAATTAGAATATGAAAATTTCCTTTTTGATTTTTTGTTATGGTCTTTGGTTTTTTTCCTTTTTTAATTCTTCGTCACTCGCGGACGAAGTCCCGGTTTTGTAAAAATATAAACTATAACTGTGCAGATTTTTAAAAATAAATTTAAAAAAATACTTTTCAGAAAACTGTCGTGATGTGTCTGCACTCCAGAAGCACCAGTAATGCAGGGTAATACTAGTGTCACCAGAATTTATGTTTATTTTATGTTTTCAGTGTGTAGTTTGTTTGATGTTTATTTATAGATGGTAGTAGGTCGTAAATGTTTGCTTTGTGTTGTACGCCTGGATTTATGTATGTATGTGTATTATTATTATTATTTTATTATGTTTATTGTATGTAAGGTGCCCGCTGAAAACCAGCGTCGTGGCGTCCCGTCACGACATATGCTGAGCGGAGACCTAGTTTCTAATTATTAATATAAAATGTAAATTAAATTTTTCTTTCTTTCTTTCTTTCTTTCTTTCTTTCTTTCTTTCTTTCTTTCTTTCTTTCTTTCTTTCTTTCTTTCTTTCTTTCTTTCTTTCTTTCTTTCTTTCTTTAATATAAACTAAAAGTCGCTCGTCTGCAACGCAATATGGTAATAATAATGTGTACAAGCGGATCATATCTGTCGTTTGATAAAACAATACACGCAGCGGGGCACATTTTATCGGAAACTAAGAAATGTGATAAACATGTTTCGGTCCCGGTAGTTTAGCGACACATCATTTTGAAGGTCGCGGGTTCGATTCCTCGCACAGTACAAATATTTGTATTCAGAAATATGATTGTCTGTATTTGGTCTGGGTGTTTCTTATGTATCTTATGCTATATGACATTAGTTCAATTCGCAGTTGCATAGTGGATTTTATGAAATTTAAGACACTAATATTGTGAGCAAGGACTTTTTTATGGATAAAAATGGAATGGTGCTGCTGTGCTAACGATTTACGCTGGCGGGGCACCAGTGGAGGATAAGATGAGCATGAGGTCAGGTCAGTTAGCCTATCGTGACAAATTCACCAAGAATTTATCTAGATGGTTTCCAGGGGGTACCGCGTGGAGGTCAACCTGACATGGTACATTGCTAGCAATGAGATCATCAGTCCACATTACTTATAATCCTCTTTCACCCCTGGTGAGCTGATTACCAGCGGGCTACATGATATTAATCCTTATCCAAATAAATATGTTAATGTCGAACAGTTTTATATGATGTACAAATAACGGTGTTGAAAATCGCTGTTGTGTGGTCGTTTAATATATACATATAAATAAAATTGGAGTGTCTGTTTGTAATATTGAAATAACCGTTTTTACTACATGCAGATGAATACGGTACATACAACAAAATAATATTTTTTACCATTTTTGTCTGTCTGTCTGTCGGTCTGTTTATTCCAGCTAATCTCTGAAATGGCTGGACTGATTTTGACGGGACTTTTATTGGCAAGTAGCTGATGTAATAAGGAGTAACTTAGGCTACTTTTATTTTAGAATAATAAAGTTAAATTCCACGCGAACGAAGTCGCGGGAACAGCTAGTTATATATATATATTTATATATTGACGGCGAGATAAATTAATAATGACACAACATTAACAGTTTTAACTTATATTTTTATTGTAACACTTTTTTGACATAACTATTTATTTTTAAAGAAAGAAAGAATAGAAAATAATTTATTCAAAAAACTTAATTTAATCACTTTTGAATAGTCACAGTTATCATTCTTTTAATCTACCGCTCATTCGGAAAGCTGTCTCATCACAAGAAGAACGAGCAAGAAACTTGCGTGTTGCTCTTTTATCATTGTAACTTTACATTTCCAATTTGAAAAGAGCGAATACCAACCACCAATTAGCATTAATTTAATTTTTTTTTTTTTGTAATGTACCTAAGTATTTTTTTTGTAATTAAAAAATGGGGCCCGTGCGAATCCTGGACGGGTTGTATACTTACTGTATGAAAGTGATCCTAAAACATGGATAATCTAAATCAATTAACTTCAGATGGGTTATTCTTAAAATTAAATTTTCTACATTCACGGCGTCTCAGGTCCTGAACGCGGCAATTATGCAAACTGCGCGCTCCGTCTGGGTCCTGCTTATTTGTCGAGTGTTTTCTCGAGGGGCTAGTGATGCCACTGAATATTTTTATCGATTATCGATTCATATAGACGACGACCTTAGACGACCCCGGTGGTCTAGTGGTTTAGCACACCGCTATACTTTACCGATGGTCGCGGGTTCGATTCCTTGCACGGCACAAACATTTGTATTCATGAGTATGATTGTTTGTGTCGGTCTGGGTGTTTTCTATGTATAATATGTATGTATTTACGAAAAAAAATATATCCTTGTATTTGTATCAGTTGTCTAGTACCCATAACACAAGCTTTAGATAGCTTAACTTGGGTCTAGATGGCGCTGTGTGATTTGTCTTGAGATTATTATTATTATTATATATTTAACACGTTATAGGCGGCATGCTTACCGGTGGGTCACTCCGCAACTAAAGTAAATTTACAAGTTGGGACCAGGTTATCACCCGTGGGCACTTTAATTGAAATAAATCTAGGGGTGAAATAATATCTACCTCAAATTATTGTACACTAAAAACACAAATAATATATACGCAACGTAATAATGTATACGTAATATATACGTAATTAACAATGAAATATGCCGGTCCCTATGTGAGGAATAAGATTATTCAATGCAACGTGATTGTAATAATTTGTACCAGCCTTTGCCTATATTTATACCCGCTTATATTTTTAATTAGTGGATGATAATAGAAAGGTATACTCGTTTTGCTGACGCTTTACGCTGGCGGGGCAGTTGAGGATTGTAGGATGAATATAAGGTCAGATCAGTTAACTTATCGTCATAAATTCACCAGGAATTTATTTTGATGGTTTCCAGGGGGAACCGCGTGGAGGTCAATCTGACTAGTATCTTATTATAATTTTCCCATAAAAGACCCATTAGCTTATTCTGAACGGTACTTAGGACAGCAAGGTTCGTCTTTAAATCTAGTATTAATATTATAAATATATTAGTATACTGTCTAACCTTATGAACGGCATACGAGTAAGCTGCTGAACTCAGTTTTGCTGCAACGCTCTGAGCAACCCTTTGAAGTACAAACATTATTAGTAATAATGCTGAATAACTTTTTTTATTATTCTACTAGCTGACCCAGCAAACTCCGTTCCACCTCAGAATGAAATAATATGTCATGTGGTTTATTGAAGTTTAGTATATCTTTTTACAACACATTATAGTCTATAAATTTCTGAACGAACCCTGTTTGACAGTTACGAACAGTTTGTACGGGAAAATAAAATTGTTATCTTTATTATTTTCTAAGCAATTTCTTCATATTTCATCACCGTTTAAACCACGAATACTTCAAGACTAAAATTAGCGAAATCGGTTCAGCCGTTATCGAGCTTTAGCCTAACGAAC